ATCTTCTGTATGAGTTACCCTTTAATCATTCTTCCTATTTGTTCCTCAAAATTTTCCTTGTTCTGAAATATACTTTGTTTATATTAATGTAACTTCAGCTTTATTTAAATTATTGTTTTCGTTGAATGAGAACATGTGAAGGTCAGTGTTGTGGTGCAGAGGGATAAGAAAACTGCCTGCAGTGTTGACATCCCATATGAGCACCAGTTTGAGTCTCCACTGCTCTACTTCCAATCCAGCTCCCAGCTAATGTGCCTGGGAAAGCAGCTGAGGATTGGGCCCTGCATCCACATGGGAGGCCCTGATGAAGCTCATGGTTCCTAGCTATGCCCTGCTCCTGCCCTGGCTGTCGCAGGCCATTTGAAAAGTGAACTAGCAAATGGAAGATTCATTCTTTCATATTCTCTCTCTCTCTTTTCTCTTTTCTCTTTCTTCCTCCTCCAACCCTCTGTCTCTCGTCTGTGTATGTGTTCCTCCCTCTGTTTAACTCCGTCTTTCAAATAAATAAATCTCTCTTTTTAATGTGATATTTTTCTCTGCCTTGCTTGTTAAATGATTTCATCCACTTGGATACAGATGGCAGAATTTCTTTCTTATGGCTAAATGTTATTGTGTGCATGATTGTGTGTGTGTGTGTGCGTGCATGTGTATCCACTCACTCACTGCTAAGACATTTTGGTTGATTCCATATCTTGGCTATTCTAAATAGTGCTGCAAAAAAAAATGGTAGTGCAAGATATCCAAAAATCTACTTTGTGTCCTTTTTTATACCTATGGTTTCTTGCTTTATCACATTCATGTTTTTCCTCAACCTTCTTGACTATCTGAAATATTTTAGAAGCACTTTAATATCTATGCTAATTTTATCATACTTCATTTCTGGACATACTTCTATTGAGGTATTTTCTCCTCTGATTATTGATTATCAATTATGTTCCCAATCCTTTATGTACCTGCTGCTTTTTATGACTAGACATTATGAATTTTATATTTTTGATAGTATTTGATTATTTTCAACAGTGTTGGATATTTTTCTGAAAGGCAGTTAAGTAACTTGCAATCATTGGTTTAAAGCCTTTTTAGTGTGAGTGCCAAAAAATATTTAATCTCTCAATTTCTCCTGATGCTGTGGCAAATTTCTCCTGCTACAGGGGTGGCAACAGCCTATCTGCTGTTCTGTGTATTAGGAGATCTCTGCAGATCATTGATAGTAACATGAAATATTCTCAACTTGTGTCAGTTTTGCAACTTGGTTTGCTTTATATTTTGGGTGGTTCTTTTCCAGTTCTTAGACAGTTTTTTCACATGGATGTTCTAGTTGCTTTTACAGGCTAAATCTGTGATCTGTCCCCTCAGTTGTGAGATCACTGATCTCTCTTTGAGTTTCATTTTCTAGTGCTGTAGCCTGCAAAATCTCTCCAGGCATTAAGCCAGAACATTTGTGAAGTTTACCTTTATTGTTATCTTTCTGTCTTCCTATCCTATGTCATCTGTGATCAATATGTGAAAACTGTTACTTACTATGTTATGTCTATATTCCTACTAGTTTAGTATAAGAGATTAAATCCAGTCCTTTACTGACTTCATAATAACCACTGAGTACCCTAATTCTGCATTGTGACTTTCCAATCTTATTTTTAATTCCAACAAAAGAATAATGATTTATGGTTGTTGTCATATAGTCTAGTTGCATTTTCCATAAATATTGCATTTAGGAAACTCTATTATAACTGTAAGAAGAATTAATTAGCTATATTTTAATGTAAAAATTTAAATTTATTACATAGTATAATTTTAGTATTTGCAATATTAAATTTATTTACAATGTTTAAATAAATGTCTCCTTTATGTGGAGAATTTTTAAGCATAACTTAAAAATAATGTCCTGACTTAATGGTCATAAAAGCTCAGTGAACTAGGTAAAATAACAGTGTTTTCTTGTAATTCTCATTATAAAGAAACTGAGACCCAGCAAAATTCATTAATTTTTCTCAACATTATATAACCTATAAATGATGAAAATGAGAATCAACACAGTCTTCTGATTTATGTAACAATACTCTTTTTTCGCCATTCCAGGTCTCTTTTACTAGACGATACAGAACTCTATGTGAACTGTAAAACATTTAGTAAGGATAGATATTTTTTTTAACTTGTGACAATGGCAGTGTGATAGAGTAGAAATAACTGGTAAAGCCACTATGGAAGTCTGTCTGGAGATTCCTCAGAAACCTGAATATAACCCTACCATTCAACCCAGCCATCCCACTCCTTGGAAGGTAAAACCCAAAGGAAATTAAATTGGGAAACAAAAAAATGGGCTGCACCTTAATGTTTATTGCAGCTCAATTCACATTAGCTAAGACCTGGAATCAACCTGAATGCCCATCAACAGTAGACTGGATAAAGAAATTATGGGATACGTACTCTTTAGAATACTATACAGCAGTAAAAAACAATGAAATCCAGTCATTTGCAACAAAATGGAGGAATCTGGAAAACATTATGCTAAGTGAAATAAGCCAGTCCCAAAAGGACACACATCATATGTTCTCCCTGATCGGTGACAACTAACCGAGCACCAAAAAGGAAACCTGTTAAAGTGAAATGAACACTATGAGAAATGGTGACTTGATCAGCCCTTGCCCTGACTGTTGATGAACAACTTAATACGTTATCCCTCTTAGTATTTTTTTGTTTGTTCTACTTAATACTATTGGTTACAATCTGTAATTAATACACAGTTATTCTTAAGTGTTGAAACTTAACTGAAAAGTGATCCCTGTTAAATATAAGAGTGGGAATAAGAGAGGGAAGAGATGTACAATTTGGGACATGCTCAAGCTGACTTTCTCCAAATGGTAGAGTTAGAAATATACCAGGGGATTCCAATTCAATCCCATCGAGGTGGCATGTACCAATGCCATCTCACTAGTCCAAGTGATAAATTTCTGTTCACAATTGATCATAATGATAGGACCAAGAGCCAAAGGGAGCACATAAACAAGACTAGTGTCTGCAAATACTAGCTGATAGAATAAAAAAGGGAGAGAACGATCCAACATGGGAAGCAAAATACACAGCAGACTCATAGAATGGCAGATGTCCTAAACAGCACTCTGGCCTCAGAATCAGCCCTTAAGGCATGCGGATCCGGCTGAAAAGCCCATGAGAGTATTTCAGGCATGGAAAGCCAAGACACTCTGTCAAAAAAAAAAAAATGACCTAAATGAAAGATCTCCGTGAGTGAGATCCCAGTGGAAAGAACAGGTCATCAAAGAAGGAGGTACCTTTCTCTGAAGGGAGGAAACTTCCACTCTGACTACGACCTTGTCTAAATATGATCAGAGTTGGTGAACTCACAAGGCTTCCATAGCCTTGGCTACTTATGACAAGAGCCTAGGGTGATTACTGATGCCATAAACAAGAGTGTCAAATTGTTGCGTCAACAGCAGGAGTCACTGTGCACTTACTCCTCATGTAGGATCTCTGTCCTTAATGTTCTGTACATTGTGATTTAATGCTATAACTAGTACTCAAACAGTATTTTTCACTTTGTGTTTCTATGTGGGTGCAAACTGTTGAAATCTTTACTTAATATATGCTAAACTGATCTTTCTGTATATAAAGAGAATTG